TGCTGCCGTGAAGCTCACGTATGATACTTTACATAGCCTACATATTCTGCCATACATTGTTAGAATATGCAAGAAGCAGTGCCATGTGTTTCTCACAGGTGCAAGTGAAGAGTCGATATATTCCTTCTTATAACTGCAGAGGCCAATCACTTTCTTCATTCGTGTTCAAAGTCAGCTTTCCGTTTTACACGGTATCGACAGCTGCTTCAGGAGGCCTTTCCAGATGCCATGTCCGTCTGAAGCGAAGCTGGATTCCAAAGCGTGGCAATGTTAGTTCCACTATATGATCAAATCACTTTGCCTTCAATCTGTCCTCTGCCGTTTTCCCTCTTGCTCTGCAAATTAGTATGTGATGGTAATCCTTCAGACTGTAGAAAACGAGACTCACGACAAAAACGTTCTAAAGTCGCGGTATTTTTGAATTTGTGAGTCCTGTGATGCCTGTGACCTCCTGCACTATGTATCCGGAATGAATTATTTGCAGGCCACGGTAATGAAACCAAAATGGCCAGTTAACTGACAGATGGCTGAGGTTTTCATGCTTTCCACAACTGAAACTTTGTAAACCATTCTCATTTCAGTCATCAGCGTTACGTTTGTGGTATGTTGCTCATAGTGCGGCGCCTGGCTTTGTTTTCACAAGTCAGGTGATCCATTTGGCATGTAGTCTTATGTTTCCTTTCTCTGAAATGATACGCTTTCGCAAAATGGATGAAAGGCAAGTAAGCTAATCAGTTATCGAACTCATGATCTCTCGACTTTGAGTTTGTCGTTCTGCCAATTGAGTTACTCCAGTGACGAAGTGAAAATATGTTCTCGCCCTTGGACCACATCGTCAAGTTTCGACTGTCTTGTCAGCTCGAATATGATAATGCCATAACACTGCTTTCAGATAATCGAATAAGTACCACTCCTCCTGTAGTGAATTGGTTACTAAAAAAAAGTTGTCAGCCAGTAGGAAGAACTTATTTTGTGTTTCAATTTGAATCCGCATCTCTGAGAGGCAAAGCTGAGCGATTTGCCTTTGTGCCACAGCCTCTCCTCATAGTCATTCCATTCTACTTGTACATTACCCTCAGAGAGGCTTGTTATCACCACTTCCTCAACGATGTTTCTTAGTTTCTAGAGTAATCGTTGTGCAGCTCAGGACTCGTCGCATGTTTAACGCAGTAACTTTCCTATGATTCAGTGTATTCCCAGATTCAGATTTAAAAGGCTTTCTTGAGTGTTAATTTTACGACGCTTTCTAAATATTAGACTCTGTTCACACGGGGCTCGTGTGATGATGAACGTTGACGTCAGTCAGGGGTGGGGTGAATCAGTCAAGCAGTGAGGGGAGCTTCGGCGAAGGGTCGTACATTACCTTGTTGTAAGACAGTCTTTCCGTTATAGAGGTCGCCGCAGTGGTTTGAGTTATTCTGTCGTCTCTTCACTTATTCTTTCGCTCGTATTCATGCTGTCACTCAGTAATCACATATAAATGACTGATTTATTGTTGTGAGTTGCGCGATGACACTTTCACAACTGCGTAATACGACGCGATCGTAAATCGTGTCGCCACATGTCTCGAGGTAAGGACGTTTCGCCGAGCCTCCTCAACCTTCCGCCGTGTGAATTGGAAATCGTGAGCCGATTTTACTGTCATCGTCATCATCACATCGATGACATCCGTCGCAACTCACGCCTTTACGTGCTCAAAGGCTGGGAACTCGTATGCATGCCAGAGTGTCGATCGATTTACCGTAATTTCGTGTACGAGCAACGCGACCCGTTACGACGGTTGTTCTTGTTTAGCAAGCTGTCAACGGAAGCCAGTATTTTCATTCGTCGTCTACCAAAGACAAAGTGATCGCGTTCGGTAGCGTGGACGTGGCCAGCAGCGCTGACCAATACAACAACGGCCCCGCCGCCAGAGTCGCCGCCGCCGCCGCTGCCGACGGAAGTAAGATGCCTTTGTTGTTATGACGGAAATCATTCATCAGGTATTAGCTATCAACAGAGCTGTTTATGAGCGTCGGATGAGCCGCATGTGGCACGCTCACTCAAAGCCACAGTCACCTTGATTTTCTTTCGACCGGGCGCAGCTGTCTTGTGGCAAGCCGCTCGTCGGCTCGCTCACGTTTCCACCGACTAACATTTCCGCCCTCCGCTGGCGGTGCCCATTTTGTTTCTCGTTGCTCGCCCGTGCATCTACACCCTCACCTCCTCCGTTTCCTCCATCTTACCTTTGAGTGTAATGTATTTCCATCGCGCCACCGCCTCCGTGTGTAAACATGCTTTTCTGATATGATCTGAGACAGCCGGCTGCGGAAGCCGTCGCGTGGTCGGCTGACCCCCGCCTTGCCGTCGCTGCTGATCGGTGGTTTCCGTTCATAATTATTACTGCTC